ATATAAAAAAAAAAATAAAAAAACTCGGGACCATATAAAGTACTACTCGTAAATATCTATAAATGTACTAATTGCCAAAAAGAAAATAACATCGTTCAAGTGTATGGCTAATGAGTATCTTTCTTGAAACTATTAAGGAGAACAGAAATAAAATTGTTTTGAGAAATAAAGATAAAAGTTTTTCTGAGCGTCAAAGGCTTAATCAAGCAGTGTCTGACCATGTTTGTTTATTTTGTAGAACAATAATAGCAACGCTTGACAAACTTGCTGTTGACGGGGATAGTAAGGCTGCTGTATACAAATTGTCGCGATTGAACATCTTCTATCAGCCCTTGTTCCACTGTCTAAAATGCTACAAGTTAAGTACTGTGACCTGTTCCATGCAGCTAATGATACACGAGTTGTTATGGCTCTTCTTCGGGTAAATTTTATAATGACATATTCATTGTGTTATTTAAATCATTATTGATAAGCATAAAAGTAGTAAAATATGAAAATATACCATAATGCTTTTAAAAATACATTTATCTATGACTAAATAGTAATAATAATTTCAGGCGGAGAGAAACGACGACGATGTTTGGAACAGCCTGTATCAAAAGGCCGTTGACATTGCTGACGACATAGACGTCGTGCTCCCAGACGTAACGGTCGTCAACAGAATCGGCCGAACGCCCCAGGTGACACGTCTGAATTTTGAAAAAGAAACATGTTTTTGCCATTCCTTGACCATTTGTTGGTAGAATTAGATACACGAATGATGCAGGGTCATGATCGCTTCACTGCTCAAAAGCTTCTCCCATTTAAGGTATTCTAGTCGCATATAGCCTAAGATATTAACTAAATGATTATCCATATTCAGAAATATCTTGAATTAATCCTTTAATATTTCAAAGCAGGTCGGCATTGAACTCCACATTTTTTTTGTTATAAGAGCACTGTGGGTTTGTACCAGGCCTTCAACACAAGCTTAAATGTTGACATACCAATCTTTGTCCGCGAGTGTGAGCGATGGCGTATGTGGTGGACTGACACGGATTTGGCAGTTGGCCGTCCTGTAGCCACGGGTTCTCTAAGGGAAGCTATTGCTTTAGAAAGCAAGACTCTATACCCAATCGTTAGGTATTGTTTGACCATATTAATGGTCATGCCAGTTTCAACGGCAACAGCTGAACGCTCGTTCTCAGTGATGAGACGGGTTAAAACTTACCTCAGATGTACTATGGGGACAGAGCGTATGTCTGGTCTTGGCCTCATGAATATGTATAGGGATATGGAATTTAGTGCCGAGCGCGCGGTAGACATGTTCGCTAACCAGCAAAACAGACGTCTAGCTTTTGTTTATAAAGTTTAAATTTTTATCACACACCCGAGCCACTTTTGCACTCTGTAAAGTTATTGCACAGCAGTGCATATACGTATTTTGACGTGACGTCATTTGCGTTACACAGATGTAGCGTTACGACGCGCTAAATGTAAGTGTTATACTATAGACGCATCAATGAAAAATTGTTTTTTTTTTCACTTCAAAACGTCTTTATTTTTGGTATGTGATAAATAGAATATTAAATTCGTGTAAGTTCATCACTGAATTCATTGAACTCGTTGAATAAAATAAAATTATGCTTGCAAGAGGCTCGCAAAATATCTTTTTTTTTCAACTCGTTCAATAAATTCAGTATCAAACTTTCACTCATTCAATATCCTAGAATAATTATATCTATTATTTCGTATTTTTTATTTTACATATTGTATTATAAATAAAAAGAGTTTGAAATCATCACCAATTTGTTGTCAATGTTCTCTCAGAATAGTCGCAGAATGCCAGAAAATGGCTTCATGATTCAAAAGATTTCAGGGGGAGCATGTCACGTAGCCCCTAGCTATGGATTACATATAAAAATGCCTCAGTTACGCCTCTGGTATGTGTCATCAAGAAATATTTTGGCAACTCTTAACATTTTTACAAGTAATGGACAGATATGGATAGATTTCCTTTGTGGCATATGACTGTTTTAAAACATAGAACAATAAACATTGTATACATACATTTATTGATGACATCTTGATCATTATTTGTTTTATATAATCTAAACCAGTGTACAGAGATACATCAATTCATCAATTCATCTATATATAAATTACTATAGACTGACAAATATCAAAAGTATGAAAGTATATTTATTTCACGCTTTCCAGTGTTTTACTGTAATATATCACATGATTATATTCTGATAAACCACAAGTGAAATTTATAAAATATAATTTTCACTGTAGCCGGACTATAAAAGGGTTAAGGTAAAGGTATTGTTTATTATAGTGTCACCCCTACTGAAAGGGCCAGCCATTTTGACTTATGAGACACCTTTGCTTTTACTATATGTAAAACGGACGAAAAGAATATAATAACTAAATGGAATAACAGACAGAAATAAATGCCGTCATACGTAAATTTTGCTTCTTAAGGAAATGAAAGTCGATGTCATCATACAATCATGTTAAAAATGTAACAAATTTAGAGAAATTTAACAGAAATATATTTCAAAATTAATGATCTGACGTCATGATGTGATGACGTCATAAAGGAGAATGCGCGACCTCACGCGGCAAAATCAGTAAAAAATATTTAAAATCACTTAAAAAGGTGGAATAAAAAGAAAATTTATTTGTTTAACTTATAAGATTAAAATATAATTCATTCGAGAACCCTGCTATTCTATTTTCACTCGTGGCTTCGACACTCGTGAAAATATTGCATCTGGTGTTCACTCAGTGAAATAGATCTATATTTCGATCTTACATGTGTAACAAACAAATTTAAAATCTACATTAAATAAGTACAATGCAATATAATTATAATCAATTTAATAAATTCAAACGCTTTTCTTAGCTTTCGGCATTCCTTATAGTTGCTATTTTTAAAGTGAATGCATATTACATATTACCTCTATACTGTAGATGTTTTTGCAAATTCTTATGCTGACACGAATGATCTAAGGTTACGGCAAGTTGTTTTAGTAATGACAATCGAAGAAGAATACACAATTGGGGAAAACAGTGATAGATATGGCCAGCCAAAAAAAAAACATTTACGATAATACAAAAAATAGATCAATGATTTGACTCTGTAACATTCTTTATATATCGTGATATTACAGTAATTAATTTCATAATTATGAAGTGAGTAAACAATGTAACTTGTGTATCTGACACCATGTTATTTGTTTATTGCTTAGTAGGTAAAGGGGAACAACTCACGGGGAACTGAAAGTATAATTTAGGTGAAAATTTAATTTACTTTGGCTTGCACTTAGTTTGATGAGAACAAAAAAAAATCTTGAAAATGACAACAAATACTCAATAAATAAATAACTGAAATAAAAATTTATCATAAATACATCCTTCTGAATCTGCAATAGATTTTTGCTCTGCTATATAGCTATTTAACTTACTTTAACACAAAATATAGTAATTAAAAGTATCAATATTTTAAAGTAAATGATATTTTAAAATTATGAAGAAACAGTTATCCAACGTTCAATTATCACCAGAACGAAACTGGAAAGAACAATGAAAATAAAAGTCGTTTGAATAAAGATTACATTAAAATAGTGAATCGAAACATCGTCAATGTGACTGACCATGTCCTAAACTGTCTATTCAGTTTTTATGAAAATCGCCATATAGTCGGCTCTTCCAAACAGATGACTGCCCCAGAAGTCGACAGAGTTAATCTTCGAGTATAAGAATTGTGGGTAACTCGCATGTTTATCAAAGCTGCACACATTATTTGGAGGTTCATCGTCTGAAACTAGCAGATGACCAAGGTCTCCAGGACAATGATTATATAATTTGTTGATGAAAAACCGCCGTTCAAGACGTTTTGGCTGGTAGGCGCCCACGATGGAGAAATAGTTGTACTTTTCGGTTGTTGTTAGATCTGCATAGCTTGATGCAACAATACGGTGTTTGTCAAACCAAGAGTTGATATCACTTCCGGTTCCGTTGAATATGACGTAGGTAACTTCTTGGTTGTTTTCGTAGTATGCATACTTGACATACTTTGCCCCAATATTGGCCCAGTTTGAGACAACATTGTTTCTGTAGTGGCTTGAATACGATCGTGCCATATATTTTGGTTTGTCTGAGCAAATGCCAATCCCTGAATAACGAGATATAATTAGTTATATAAAATACGCTATGTAATAGAAAGAGCATCGAAACACGAGGCTATCTGATTTGTACGAGGGGGCGTAGCCCCCGAGTATTAATCAGATTGCCAAGTGTTTTGATGTTCTTTCTCTTTTGTATCATAGTCAATCATAAAAACACGTTCCCTGCTGTAACAATATGAAACCCCGAGGAAAAGTAACCAATGAACGAGCATCTAAGTATATGTTAGTGTTCATCCGTGCTGTTCTACAGAAATTAGAAACTTCGACGGGAGCGACAGCGACAGGATAATGTTTCTAATTTCTGTAGAACAGCTAAGGATGAACACTAACATATTTAGTGTCAAGCTTTATTTGGCCCTTGATTACGTCACTACGCGGTACTATGAAGCACTATGAAAAATAGAAGGCGACTATGAACGGATGTCAATATAGTATCGACTTTTTTTCTTCTATGAAAATTATCACACATAATTTTTAAGAAATACAGCGTTTTCATTGGATGACAAATAAAGCTGGACACTAAATATGATATTTCTGTCGCTTTCACTTTCTCTGCCGTCACAATAAGTAAACCCCAGCAAAAATGAGTCAATCAATGGGCATGCTCTGGAGTGCGGGTAACTAATACCTGCACTCCAGTATCGTACGGTACATGTATATGTATACGAACTCGGACACATTTTTAACAGAAAGGTTCCCAAACTATGATACAAGTAATAGAAAGGGCATCGAAACACGAGGCTAAGGGGGCGTAGCCCCCGAGTATAAATCAGATTGCCGAGTGTTTTTATGTTCTTTCTCTTTTGTATCATAGTCAAACATAAAAACACGTTCCCTGTTACCAAAATATGAAACCCCACAAAAAAGTAACCAATGACCGAGCAAAATGAACCAATCAATGGGCATGCTCTGGAGTGCGGGTTACTGATACCTGCACTCCAGTTACCGCACTGTGCATGTACATGTATACGATTTAACTCTGACACATTTTCAACAGAAAGGTCCCCAAGCTATGATACAAAAACACTATAAATAATCTTTAAATAAACTACAATCGCGATAACGTCAGTATGTGCATGGTGACTTAGAAAGTTGTAATTCTTATATATACACTGTATCGATCCGCCAGTCATGTGACTATAGTGGGTAAACAAGTTGTATTACAATTTACTATATACACACATCTTGACCACAAAAATCACTAATAAGCTCAAGTATCAGATAAACTTACAAGGCTATTTCCAGGCTGTATGTATCCATTAATTTTCATTACGTTAATAAATATTGTAAATGCAATTTAAACTACTGTTGTGTTCGTAGCCAAAGGAAAAAACAACAACAGCACACAAAAAGATCTGTCATCATTCCATGTAATATCACATTGACATGATAGATCTTGCATATTACATAAAAATATGACAAGATTGGCAAGACATATAGTAGTATGTACAAAACAGCCTTAATGATAAATCCTTTCTGTGGTATATTTTTGGTTTTGTCGTGACGCGGCTCATATAGATATAAATATTGCAGGCAGAGTGATGCAACTTTGCAAACTGGTGAACATTGGTATTATAAAAAAAGCATTGTAAATTTCAATTGAATATCTCAAGCAATAATTGAGATATTTGACTTTACAAATGACTTTAACCAAAATTTATAAGTTAAAAAGGGGCATAAATATGTAAATATTGTAGGCAGAGTTATCCAACTTGTCATTCTTATGTATAGTGTTACTAAAAATTAGTATTGTAACTTTCAATTTAATATCTCAAGCAATAATTGAGATATTTGACTATACAAAAAGCTTTAACCAAAATTTCTAAGTTAAAAAGGGGCATAATTCTGTAAATATTTTAGGCAGAGTTATCCAACTTGTCAATCTGATCTATATTGTAAACTTTAACCAACGCAAACGCTCAGGCTTGACCGTTACTACAGGTCACGTGACTCCCTTCGTCGATACAGTGTATATCTTTAGAATTACTAAACGGGCAACATTATGTCGCATTTATTTTCTGTCCCTAATGTAATACGTTTACGTTAAAATATGTTCGATAATTTAAGTAAAATAAGCACCTTTTGTCCACGCATCAAAAACGTTTTGGCCATTACTTGATGTTGCACGAAATACCATGTTCCATCCATCCCTTTCAAGATCTTTCACTAGCAGAACCTTTTGTCCAGTGGTCGAAAATCTGAAATACGAATTATATCATGTAAAGGTATTAAACAAAATTACTGATTTAAATTAAGTATCAGGTGACGTTCCAAGTGAAATCATTATTGGATCAAATATTATCAATTCAGTCTCATTTTCATTTCCAGAGTTGCAAGAGTGCATACCAAGTGCATGTCGTATCCAATATAGCCTCTTTTTATTTTCTGATCCCAAAACGTTCAGTTCAAGTGCATATCATCTCAATATAACCTCGATTTCATTGTCAGAGTTTAAAATATCTACATTATGTAAATGAAATGCATATTATATTCAATCTAGGTTCGTTTTCCTTTTTGAAAGTAAAAGCAATAAAAAAAATCAGGTATCAAATCCTTGTTGTACTTGAATCAACAAAGCTCTGTCACAATGTCAAAAAATGGTGAAAGATTTTATTAAACACTTTTCTTGATTCTATTGGACTAGTACACAGCTAAAAAACCTTTATTAGAGTCGGGTAGCGCCACATTCAATATTGTTTTGTAAACTAAGTGATTTAAGTATTGTTCTTAACAATATATAAATAACTTCATATTATAATGAGTGATAAAGTCCATATCATATAAAGTGCGTGTGATAAAGCTCTGCCGAACTACTTTTGTCGTATGTTTTTTAATGATATCGTAAATTTGTAACTTTACATTAAAGTTATTTGTTGCGTTTTGGTCCAGATATTATAATTCTCAATTCAAATACACTACTTCATTTAAATATTTTTACTGTTGCTTGAACGTCATCTCATTCAATAAAGACAGGCAAAAATTGATGTCATTATGTTAAGTAGTCATAAATTAAAAGAAAATGTGTTTGATTTTCGTGAATATAGTTTAAATCAGACACCAAAGTGAAAACAAACACATTTTCATACGCGCTATCCAAAATACCACCGAATATAGTGTACCTGAAAAAGTTCTGTACCGAAAAGCCATTCAAGGAGGTTTTTTTTGCATGCCGTACTGACTGAAAGCATGAAATGCCCTTATTAGAAAATTGAGCTTTATAAAAAAAATCTTTCTGAGCATTTGACACGGCACTGAGTACTACACAAATGTTTCAGCAACTTAGACACGATATCGAGCGCTGCATAATAATTATTTAAACAAGTTAGACGCGATATTGAGTGCAACAACTGAGAAAAACCTTTCTTACCTAGAAATGTCGTTATTTTCTTGTTCCTTTTCTTGATCAATCTTATCATATCTTTCCATTACTTTCTGAACATTCAAATCTATCTTAGTCATTTTCTCCAACAATAGCTCTTGAAAATAACTTGTCGACAAAGGCTCATCCGAAAGCACAAATTTAACATCTCCCAAAAAGAGAATTAACAGCCAGGCTTTCAACATATTTTACAATGTGAAACGATATTGTTAAAATACGATGTAACCCGGATGCGCGCCTCTTAAATACATACTCTTATATGCGGAACATGTCACTACATCATCGGCAGCCAATAATAACACTTTTTCTTACACATACATTGTTTCATATAAATATAAATATCCGTACTAATGCCCTCTAAAACAATAACATCGCAAAAAAACGCCTAAACGTCTTTTTCATTGCTATGCGTGGGAGGTCTGGTTTAAGCGCACCGACACTACAATGTATACAAGTTTGCTTCTTTAAAAAGAAGCATGCGAGAGGTCCTTTGCAACTGTTGTAATTTGTTTAATTCGAAAATATTAGAGATATTTTTGCATAAAAGGCACAATGAATGTTTATAAATTACAATTAGTTTACAAAATAGAATTTATTATATATATATATTGAATATAGTATCATAATTAAAGTTTGTTTTACACTTATTTTTTAATGTTTTGAAAGATTATATGCCGAAGAAATGGACATTTTTCTGGCGCACAAGGGATATTTTTCTACAAAGGGAACAATTTATGTTATTTTATCAAACTAAATTTGAAATAAATGTTATATATTAAAAGTAGTATCAAAATAAAAGTTTCTTGTAAAATTCAATAATCAAATTTTCAATTAATGTTTTGGTAAGTAAATGAAAACATTTTCTCTGTGCACAACAAAGACTTTCCTTTACGGGCAGAAAGTATGTTTAACAAACATTTTAAGTCCAAGTTATACATAAAAATGTTCATATCATTTCAATGATTGGAATAAACAGTAAATAAAGCTCCATGGCTCCAACCACAAAATTTCAAAAAAAATCAAACTTGAGAAAACTTGTGCCATTTGCGCCAAAAAGATTTCCGTTGCGTAATTTGGTGATACCGATTCAGAGCAGCAAAAAATTCGGTACACGGTTCACTCGGTCATATATTACTGCATGGTGATATTGTAGCTATAATGTTCACTGTTACTATATTTTTCGGAACATGAACTAGTAAAACGCTATTCAGAAAACAATAATCGATTTGTACAGCTCAAAGGAATAATACGGAATGAACCATAATTGCTCGTAGTGTTAGTAACGTAACTGATATTTTCCGATTTTTCCTTGTTCCGACTTACTCACCTCGATATTAATTTTTTGTTTAAGTTCAGTCATATTTTGAAGCGGAGCATGCGCATAACAACTTTTTTAGGTTATTTCTTACGATTTAAGGCTTAAAATGCTATGCATTAACTTCAATTTGGAACGCAACCATAGATGCCAGTAGCAATCATTCTCAACAAGGTGAGGTCTGGTTTGATGACCTCTCAAATAAAAAAAAAAAACGTACAGTGTCCCGTTAGTGTCATCGCGACACACACATAGCTCGAATTGTGAAAGGTCGAAATAACGATACTGTGATGGTGAGAAGTCGAAGATACGATAATGAAAAGTCAAAAGTACGATGGTGAAAAGTCGTAATAACATAACTAACACGAATTTTACCATAGCACTTTACCTTTCACCATTGGAAAAGCATGAACCATTGTGGTTTCGTTATTTCAAAGACCTCATCTGTCCCTCCGTGCATTATTTCACCTGAGAAGCACTGAAGTTCCATAATCAAGCTGGATAGCTTTCTCACATGAAATTATGCAATATCCATAGCGAGATTCGAACCCACGGCGGTGAGGAGTAAGATCGAAACACTAGGCTATCTGATTTGTATGAAGGGGCGTAGCACCCGAGTATTAACCAGATTGCCGAGTGTGTTGATGTTCTTTCTCTTTTGTACCATGAGGTCTTCCTCCACCAGTAAAGCTGGACCATTGCCATATGACCTAAACTGTTTTCGTGCGATGTAAATCCCAACAAAAAATATGCCTGTGAGATAAAAAAAAATCCACATTACCCACAGTATATCTGAACTATTTTTGGCGTAAGTTTTATTTTATTTTTTTTTCTCGTAAAATTGTAAACTTTATAAATAGTGTTTAGTACTAAGTTTCATATTTCTCAATTTAAATATCATTATGCTTCTTAATTTGTTGAAATATATTTTTAAGTTACTCCGCAATAATTACTACAAACTTGATTCATTTTGTTTGTGCAAAGTTCCCGCACCCTTTGAACGTTTGACGCTATCCTCAATATATATTAAAAATCGAAGTCAAAACTTTTCCTTTTTTTCTCACTTTTCATTGTGATATAACATATTCACCCGAAACAAACAAATACCCCTTTTATAATTGTTATATTCCAAGAGTTTTATCATGGAAATATCTCTGTTATATAACGATAATATTTCACTTAAAATAACGTGTCCCAACAAAGATACCATCAGATTTTATTTTTAACTTTAAAGTTTGGTGTTGATTTCGCTGATGATCTATGTGCTCTAACACTGCCGTCACCCCTTTGGCCGGTTTTACAGACAGTCAAGAAAGATTTATAAGTATCCTTTATAACATGTTACCTGTTCCGGCCATATCTTTGCACAGATTCGGCATTACTTTTGCACAAATCTGCGTCATTTCACATTCCTGTGTTACTAGATAAACATATATATAAGGAAATCAATATAAGGAAAATCCCACGAACAATCCTGGTACAGATTCATTTGATGACGTATCATGCCAAATATCTAATCTGTGGAAGATTTTTGAAGTGTTTTATGACAATCTATATATACAAATATATAAGATCAACATAATAGGAATCCCGATGAGTTAATAAATATCACTGGAATGGAAACCAAGCACAGGATCCATTTTATACCACAGTGTCGGCTGATCATAATATGTATATGTACTGCTAACTTTTCAGTCAGTACATATACTGATTTTTTTTCTTAAATTACTACGTGTAAATTCAATGTTTCGATGGAAAGGATTAAAGTTTCTGAGGAGGTATTTTCACAGTAAGTTTCCTAAAGCATCTATATAAGGAGGTATTTTTACAGTAAATTTTCTAGACAAGTCAAAGAAACATAAGCGATTCTCAGGCAGGGCGATGTTTACACTAAACACATCTAAAAGCGTGGTATGAACATGTAAAGGTTTTGCTTAGGTCGACAACGCACAGATATATAAGTATGCAATAAGAAGTGACAACAAGGTTAAATGAACGTTCCTATTTATGCCTTTGTGTCAAATATTTTCCAAGTAACAAGGCTACTTTGACCCACATAGAGATGCTACCCTTCAATCTGTTGCCCCAAGGCATGACTGGGACTTTTCAGTCTAACCCCGTTTTTTTCAAATGCCTGGGGTAAAATTTAAAAGAATATCGAGGGTTTGAATAACCCGAAAAAATTTTGATAGAGAAAATACTCACTTATAAACATTTTAATTTTGTGACAGGTTAAAACCATAAGGCCCGGTTAAAATAAAGTTTTAAAAAGAAAATCAATATATATTAAGTTTTTAAACTTTTAAACAGGCAATTTTTGAACCCCTAGGGAACATTTTAAAAAAACTCTTGAGAGTTCAAATTGGGAGTTGCCGCCATACCAAAAATTTAACTCTTGGGCCCCCGTAACCCACAAACCCTCAACTAAACAAATTTTGCAGGGTCACCAAGGGAATTTCCCATGAATTGGTCAAAATCACAATGGGTTTAAAAAAGATGTTGTTTAAAGATATTGTGAATACTTATCAGCATTACAGACATCATGAGATCACAATTGTCAAATTCTAAGCGATAAAAATACCACATGTATGATACTATAATCTGCAAACTATTCAAATGCATAGAAACAAATTCAATAATAAAATGCAAGACAATTCATAAATATCAAATCTTTTCACATCTTCCTTTCATTTAAAGATATATACAAAACAGGTGATAATATGATAATCATGTAAATAGTGATTACAAAAAAGTCAATACAACATTAACAGAAATTTAGGCAAAAGAAAATAAAAAACTAGATCCTCTTCCAAATTTTGGAAAAAAAAATTCATATTTTGACATCAAACAAATTGATGCTTGGACAAAAAACCAATATATACATGTATTTTTACAAAATAATACATCTTAATTTTTATAAAAGAGTTGAATAAAGATGTACTATGCCTATGTCGATCAATAGTGCTTTTTCTGGAGTTAAGTCTGTAAAAATTATTAATTAATTAACCAATGCAGCTACAAATTTATTATTTATAAGCACTTCTACCAGAGGCGGTGTATACACATTGCAAGGTGCACTGTTTGAATCTCGCAATAATTCATGCGTCTAAAGAGGTCTATGCCAGAAACCTTATGGATACGGCCCAAACGGTGGCATTCGCATTTAACTATTCTGCAAAACGACTTCTTCAGTTCAAAGAACACTGGCTGGGGATGATACAAGCAGGAAAGACATGGCTGAGCGTATACGCCTACGATCACTTTGTGAGACTCGTTGGTCAGCACGTGCGGACGCGTTGCACACATTTCTTGCAGCATACAGGTAAACC